ATCAGGATTATGGACAAATTATTGCTCTAAATCTTATTCAAGAAATAATTTCGAATCAAAACAATATTACAAAATCTCCTGTACGCAATCAAGAGATTGTTATAGAAAAACAAATTCAACGATTTCAAGAACAAACGCCATTAAACAAAATCCACTACAGAAAGGAGAAAGACATTTCCAGATGACTTTATAGTTTTTTTTTTCAAGAAAATAAGGATGACATTGAATTGATGGAAGAAGATCTGATCAATTAACTTTCATCAAGCCATGCAAATGAATAATTCTCAAAAGCGAATTGATGTCATAAATAAAGAAATAAAAAGGTAATGACGTTTGTGAACTCATCCCATTGCCTGAAGGTGTAAAGCCCATTGGTTGTAAATGGATATTTAAAACTAAGAGGGATTCGAAGGGTGATGTGGAGAGATATAATGCACGTCTTGTTGCAAATGACTTTACTCAAAAGGAAGACATTGACTTTACCTTCGATTTCTACGAAGGACTCTTTTCGGATTATTATGACACTTGTAACACATTTTGATCTTAAACTACATCAGATGGTTTACAAACTAAAAAAAAAAAAAAAATCTACCTATAGGCTTAAGCAAACTTCCCGTCAATAGTATCACAAATTTCATCAAATAATTATCTCGTTTGATTTTAAGATGAACTCAATTGATGGTTGTGTATATCACAAGTTCAGTGTGAGTAAGTATATTTTTCTGGTATTGTATGCCGATGACATACTGATTGCCTACAATAGTATATGCTTATTGGATTAGCAGTTGGGAGTTGAGTGTATACTTAGGTTTTTTACACATTCAGATATAGCATTCATTATTGGAATGTTGGACATATATTTAAGTAACTCTAGGATGGATATTCAGAAAGCAGCCAAGTGAATTATTCGGTATCTATAGAGATTTGAGGATTACATGATCACATACAGGAAATCAGACCTATAGGAGATCATTGGATATTCCGATTCTGATCATGTAATGTGCGAAATTTTGTCACTAGGTTGCACAATTTGGATGGAATTGAAAGACCACTTAAGTTATTATGTGACAAATAACATTCTTGTATTCTAACAAGAGTTTGATGATATCAAAGTTTATAAATATTAAGTTCCTAATTGTTAAGAAAAGAATTTAGAGTGATTAGATTTTTATAGAACATATTAAGGCAAACTCCATGATTGCGGATCCCCTTACTAAAGAACTACTACTAAAGGTCTTTCATGAGCATATTGCTCATATGTGTGTTGTATCTTTTGGTGATATGATAGTTTAGTGGGATTTTGTATTTGACTGTTGTTTGATTCAGACACATCTTATACTTATAAATATTCAGATTATTCTGCAGAAATAAAGTATTTAGTCCAGTTTCACTCTGATAAGTGCATTTTTACACACTTATTTCACTGTCAAAACATGAAAAATTGTTGATTAATATGTTGGAATATAGCTTAATTCTATGCAATTTACGTTTTGCAGGACAAAGTGATGAATGTAGCGGAAATAAGGAGAAACAAGTGAAAAATGACCAAAATGGAAGAAAGTGATAGTTCAGAGATTAAAGAGCAAATACTATAAACTTGTTTCTAACCTTGTGATGAAGATTCGAGAGTGTTAGAGGTCAATTGGATGAACAAATGAGTCAAAGGAATGAAATATAGCCAAAACATTATCACATATCAACTTTCAAACTGAAAAGTTTTGCATCAGTTTTCAGCCTCATACTGAGACCAGTTTCTGACATGGAAAACGATTGAATTAGAAGATTCTATATGAAGTAAAGTTTTAGCCCTTTGAGTCAGCTTTGCAATGCATCTTGAATCACCTCAATCAGATATCGGGAGAGAAAGATATGACTACAATACTAAAAACTGTCTACATGGTTATTTTAGGACTTGAATTTTCTGCTTTCCTTCTACGACTCAAACTCCTTTAGTAACATATCTTGCACAACTTTTCAACCCTAAATACAACCCAAAACACCCCAGAACGGCCATTCCTCATTATTCATCATTCTTTTATCTTTTTTTGCTCAAGAAACTCATGAAGAACTAAATCTTGGTGAAGTTACGAAGGAACTCGGTTGGAATTGGTGATTTCATGTCAATTATTCATTTATTTTGATCTTTTCATTGTCGAAGAATGCTATAATTTAGATTTTCACTCTCTTGAATTTACATTGAATTCAGTTTAATATTTACAAGATTTTTCATGGATCCAGTCATGCTTTTCCCATTGTTCAATCAAACTATTTGTTGAGTTTTAATTTCAATTATTTATTGTTGAGAATGATTTAGCAATTACTAAATCCTTCATAGATCCAGTCATACTTCTTCTATTGTTAGATTGAACTAGTGTCGAATTTTAATTTTAATTTCACTTTATTGGCGGATTAATTACTTTCATACGCTTGATGTATATGGTCGATCTTTGATCTTGTTCCAATAAAATTATGCGAATATGTCTTAAATCTAGATTCTAGGATTACATTTGTAAATTAAATTGATTTTCACGATATATCTTCCGATTAGAGTGTCGGGATGAAAGCCTCTAATTGTGTTATAAAATGGAATAATTGATGTGAATGATCCAATCCAACTGAGGGAATTCCGACGCTTCACTGTCTCAAATTATTGACTTTAATTTCACATTTCAACATTGAATTTCACTATACATTGAAGATGATAATTCATCCTTTTTTGATCATTTAAATATTCTTCTATCTCCCTGTGCATAGACACCCCAAAACTGCACTACAACTAACGCGTTATTCTTTGGGCGTAATCACACTCTGATTAGAATTTTAGTTTGATCTCGTTAAAGAATAAAGTAGGATCATTTAGAAATATGCATGTTTGAATCACATTACATGTAATTTTCATGCTATATATCTACACTTGATTTATGTCATTTGATTGTGGTGATATAAGTGACAATTGATGAGTTTAGTTATGATACTTGTAATGAAGACCACTTTGATAATATATTAATATAATTAATAGACGAGATTATTCGAAGATATTTTTGGTTATGATAGTAAAAATTTTGATGTCATAGGGATATACACATTTATAAGGTAACATAAAAGGCCAAAGTGAGCGATTATTGGGAAAAAAATTGATTTGTTATGCGGGTTGACATATGTAATTAATTGTGTATAAATGTTATCTTAAAGTTAAGCTCAAAATTAAAATTATTTAATAAAGAAATAAGTAATTGAGATTTAGTCATCTAGATAAAGTGTGGGTCATATTTTATGTATAGAGACTAGATCCATTAAAGTTGTATTTGAGGATGTACCAAATACATATGAAAACTGTAAATAAGTGGTCTCCAATTCATATGATCTCATTCTTTGTGTTATCCTATCAACACAAGAATACAAGTAAAAACATATCGAAAAGGAAGATCAATAACCCACAATCAAGAACATGCAATCTATAATCAAGAATCAAGAAGAAAGAATTGAGACAATCAAAGTTATCGAGCAAGAAGTCAAAATCAAGAATGAGAAGAGTCAATAATCAAAATTCAAGTTCTGGAATCAAGATCAAGTATTAAAGAATTATTCTCAATAAATCAAGGTATGTTCCCCACTTTATAATTCTCTAGGTGATTTGACATGGAAAATCTGGACAATAAAATAACTAAGTTTTTATGTTCTTAAAATTTAAAGTTCCAAAAAATTCTAACAAACAATTAATTCTTATCACACATTTCATGAGACAATTTTTATATTCCCAACAATACATTTTATTAACTTTTATTAAAATTTACTAAAATTTTAAATTTTAGTTACACCTAACAGAGGCTACGTCTTATTTCCAAGAAATCAAACTTAACTACTTGATATAAAGAACAAAATCAAGTATGACAAGTTGACAACATGGTGATGTCACTACACCAAAAAAAGGCTTTTGCAGCGGCCAAAAAACGCTGCAAAGACCTTTTGCAGTGTTTTTCTAAGTGTTGCGAGGGTCGGTGTTGCCATTGAAGGAAGACTTTTTGCAGCGTTTATTCACCGTTGCGAAAAACTCTTTTGCAGCGTTTTTTAAATGTTGCTGTAGACCTTTTGCAGCGTTTTTTAAACGTTGCGAAAAACTCTTTTGCAGCGTTTTTTAAACGTTGCGGTAGACCCTTTTTTTTTAATTATTAATACAGTTATGGTAATTGACCCATAAAATTAAAAATAACACTTTGTGAACACATTTTGGAATTTCATAAAAATTGATAATTTCATTATAAATTTTTGAATCAATACAAAATTAATTCGAATGTGATACAACACAACCCATCTAAAAAGGAGTAAGATAAACAATACAATTGTTTCATCCATCATTCCACTAACTAGATTGCTGGAAGAAGTAGAAACATAAAATATCATCCCCAAATGCGTGTTCTACAAATTCCTCCGTGCTACTCTTCAAGTAAAGGCTGCCAAAATTGCATAACCCACAAAAATAAATCATTATGGAAATCAACAAAATAGGAACTAGAAAATAGATTTATTGTAAAAACCCAAATAAACACCTCTTTCATCAGCAAGCTCTCTCTGGCGCAGTTCTCATCAGGAGCCTTCTCTCCATTTCTCAAGCATGCCATGTGTACAATTGCCCTAAATAAACATCTCCCGTCCGCTGGCACCCCTACATAGCGTTCATTATACATTAAGCTTTCAATTTCATACATATTCTAAAATTACAACTAAACAACCAGGTAACGAAAAAATTAACAATGAATAATTTGAGCAATATGTAATGAAAGTCAGCCAATCACCAGAAAGAAATGTGCTGGACGACAAGAAGAAAGATCCATAATTGGGGAAACAACTGATAATTGGTGAAAAGACAAAAATATTATAGTGAAATCGATCAAAAGGCTGAGAGTTAGGTGTCAGACTTTCAAATCCAGTAACATAAGATTTTTAGCCATATCTGAATTGGTGATAGAATTAAGGAATGCTAGAAAAATGAACACAGAATTTTACCCTTTCGCAAGAGAAAGTAATTGCTGAGGTCCTTCTTGATCATTTACTTCACAATTTAAAACTTTCTGAACGAGTCGCTTATACTCATTAATGTTAGGAGTCAGGACAGCCAAAAGATAATCTCTGACCAAGTCAAGGCAATTTGTAACAAGAAAAAGCCCATCCTGAGAAACCCATAGAATACATTTCAAAGACTATATTATTTGGGTAGACGATATCACTAGCAATCCTTTCAAAGGAAACTAAAGTCATTTTCTCTATTACGCACCCCATCTATGACAATCGGGACATTGGATTCCCTGGCATGCTTCATGATCTCACTGAATTCGCTCTTTGCCTCAAGAGAGGCAAAACCTGATCAAAAAGATATAATTCTTATCATGTACAAACAACATCAGCAATACATGATGTAAAGGAGCATCACAATTCTTTAACCACATTTTGAAACTGTCAAAAACCCAAATTTTTAAGCTTAAGTGAATGATCCATAAAACATCTTGTTGGAGCATTAATTGTTCAACAAACATATATATGGATACAGAAGTAGTTAGTTAGGAGATTTTTCTGTGCATGCAAATCATTAATTTTTCACCTTCAGGATTGAAATTCTTGAGTTGGCAAGTTCCATTAAGCACCTTTTCAGCATTGCCACATTCTCTCTGCCAAACAAAGAAGATTAAAATGAGTAACCGAGAAGTGAATGCAGACAGTTGAACAGGAAATAAATTAGAGCTAAAACTGGGCTGCTTAGTAAGGATTAGCATGTCATCTGGCCACTGCCTGGTACAACTCTAACCACTTGCTGCTGTTGTTGCAGATTCTGATGCTGCTTTGGAGTATGTGGTCTGATTAATTCATGGTCCGATTAATCCCAATAGGTCTATGGAAAACAACATGTAGTTTTGCTTCGTATGCTCAGAAAGATTATGAAACACTGTCTCTGTCCAGAAAGAGGAAGAGGACAAGAAACCATGTATAAATATTACATTTTCGACAGCTTTTCTTGTGATGGGTAACCTTTTCACGCTATATAGTTTGAAATGGAGAAAAAATTACTTGACACTAAAATCATCAACTTTGCAATGGACTCAAACAGATTACTAGTAAAGCAACAGATAGACACAAACCCAAAATATAGCACATTATAGGCAACCTATTTCATGAGGAATAATGTGACTGGAAATACTGAATATGGAAAAGAGTCTTCAAAGCATTTTCTCAAACACCTACTATGCATTCTCATATCTTAGCACATTATAGGCAACCCATTTCATTCATAATTCAGCCCATAAATCAAAGAAAAAAGTAAGAAGTTTTAATTAGACTTGATTTCATCAACAACTAACTTGTTTTCAATAAAACTTTCATTTCGGTTTGCAACATATCACAAATTCGCATTCAACCAATATGAAATAAAC